CGAAATTAGGTAACTTGCTTACGATTGGTTCATAAACAATGAAAAACTGGGCCTGTGCCAAAAAGCGTGCGCAGGCGAATAAACATTACAGACATGCGCCGAACTGTGAAACCCTCCTCTTAAAACGACTTATTATGCCCTGCCAACACTAACATTCGCTCGTTTCGTTTGAAACCGCATGCCTTCTAAGATCTTTTGTAGTGGCGTGCACACGACGATGGCAAATGCGGATTGTCTTGTGTTATTATCTGTATCTTTCTGGTGTAGACGAATGAAAATAGATGCCATTAAAAACGCTGACTAAATTTCCGTAGTGAACTCGAGTCAAGGACGAATATTCAGAATAATAAATCAATCGTGGTTCCCAGTAATTAAAACAGGTTCCATCGCTTTTAGAGTTTCTGAAAACGGCCGAGCTGCTGAGAAATATCTTGCTACAATCTCGGTTTGAGCAAGAATGAAGACTTTTGAAAATGCCGAAATCTAAGAGAATCTAAATTCCTAGTCTGCGAGTGTAATTCGAAAGTGTTTTATGCAAATCAGTCGACAGTGTTCCTTCGTAACGTCTGATTGCAACTGCACAGCGACCAATTCAACAAGCGTTTAAAAAGAAAGAAGGCACCAACAACTCGACGACCTTTCTTGCGTTTGGTTTCAATAACAGTAGTTGCAGGTTTAGATTTTGTGGCCATCAAGCCTTCCAAAAACGCAGAATCGGTGACTGTCGTTCACAGTTTTGTATTCTCGGATCATAGTAACACTAACTATGCTTGGATATCCTACTTCTATTTCCTTTAAAGTAATTTAAAGGCCTCACTGTATTCGCCACTCTTTCTAAGAATACATTTGCAGTGGTTCAGTACACAGATTGGAGTTTCCCTCTATCTGTTATAATAACGGTCATTGCCTCACAAAATTAATTCCCAGTTCGTTCGTCGCCTTCAAACCATACCTCTCAAGTTCACTCGAGCCGTCGCTATGCAATGTCATGGCGCGTTTAAGTCCCTGGTGTATGTGTGGGTTATTTCCGTTAGTTGTGGTGAGTATACTCAGGATGGGAGCACAATTATCTCCGGGGAAGCAAAGTTAGTTATCTTCCGCATAACTGATCAGTGAGTAGTGAAGTGCTTTGAAAAATAATAACCCACACTAATGGAATCTGTTATTTTGGGTAACCAGTTCGCAAGCCGGGGTAAACACCGAAGTAGGCAAGTATAAAACACAAACGGAAGAGTAAATATATTAACCCTACCTCTCAGTCTGTACAAGCTTGTTTAAGATGCAGTAGTGAACTATGATTCACTTCAGTTGACAGTCTTGGAGAAAGCGGCAAATGCAGACTTAACGGTTGACTTGCACTCGCGCTTGCACAAAAAGGGAGGGACGTTGGCTGGCTCCCAGTCGCATTCTAATGAGAAAGTGTCAAACGCTGGGAATAAAAAGGCTGCAAAATAATGACGGAGTGATATAAAGACGAGACATTTTTTCCATATCTTTTGTCGCATTTTAAAATTTTCTCTTTGAAGTCAGCTGACAACGAAAGCATTTACGGAGAAAGAGAAGACAGGTTTTTTTTTTTTTTTTGATACTTGAACCGTCTTTGCCCTCAACTGAGAACGTGTCAGGACCATCGTACAGGGGATGTTTTTTTGCTCGTTCGAGGTTCAATTTTCATAACATTGCATCTAGCTTTTGTTTGCTATCACTTATTATTCTTGTATATAGCTTTCTTTGCTGTGCTAAATAGTTATTATTATCATGAATTCAGTAGCCATTGAATGAAATAAAATTCTAAGTTAACCCGTATGATAACAACAAGAGAGGCCTTAAAGCACCTGGTTAAGAGAGAAATAAAAAACGGTAAAGAAATAAACAAAAAGGGGTTACTCAAAAGCTCTCCCAACTAACAGATAAGTTGCCCAGATTCATCTTGGACCATCATCGCCACGAAGTAACCAAAAAATTAGCATTTTTAAAACAACCTTTCTAGTTGCAGGCAAATTTATTTGTTCCTTTTTACAAGCGGAAATGTCGCAGCTTCTATTTCCAAGCAAATTTCCTAGGAAGAATTGGTCAGCCAGCAGACACATGCCCAGAGTTTGAGCG